ATTGTCTTGGCCAACCGTCCTTACTTTTTGAGTGGCAAGCACTTAAGCTACAACAACAACACCATGGCCTCAGTTGAATACGGTGATCATTGGCGCAACCTTCGCCGCATAAGCGCTCTTCAAATCTTCTCTCCTTCTCGCCTAACTTCTTTATTTGGCATCCGCAGAGATGAAGTCAGGATCTTACTGCGCAGACTTTACCGTGTTTCCAGTCATGGTAATTACGCTAAGGTGGAGTTAAGGTCAATGCTTTTGGACTTGACGAGTAATATCGTAATGAGAATGGTTGCAGGGAAGAGGTATTATGGCGAAGGTGTTAAGGAAATTGAAAAAGAAGAAGCCAGGATGTTTAGGGAGATCGTGGAAGAGTTTTTTCAATATATTGCCATGACAAATGTGGGGGATTTGGTTCCAATGTTGCAGTGGGTTGATTTTACTGGGCACCTGAAGAAGTTGGATAGACTAAGCAAAAAGTTGGATCTGTTCTTGCAAAAATTGATCGATGAGCATCGAGAAGACAGGGACAGAAACACTATTATAAACAGTTTTCTTACTTTGCAGGAACAACATCCTGAATACTACACGGATGAAGTTATCAAAGGCCATGCTCTGGTTAGTCAAATCTAACTCTTTTCGTGCTGATTCATCATCATATCTATTATATTAGAGGTTGAAAATAACATTTTACAGGCATCTGATTGTTCAAATTTAAACCTCAAAAATGTTTTTGTTTTAAAAAATCGATATCACAAAAGTTTTTAATGTTATTAAAGCAACCTTTTATCATATACATATACATCCGATGTTGTTCTTGCGCTAAAACATCTCCAGACTTATGTTCAGGGAAAGCAATTTTCCAACGGATAAAATGAGAAGATGGGCAGTTGTAGAACCCAGTTAATGTCAGTGCTCGTGTTTAGTATATATAATAGGAGAAATTTTATAATACTCTCCATTAACCTATTTTTTAGTCGACAGATATAGATAAGGAAAAAAATAAAATTTATATTCTGACTTATTAAATAGTGATAAGAAGATTTTTATATATATTTTTATTTTTTTTTATTGAATGATTTTTATGCGGTACTCTTTGATTATTATAAAATTTATCAGAATAATACATATGATGTTTTAGACTTGGATCTCCTAATATAAGAATCGATGCACGCGACAAAATCCAAAAGCCCGTTTTGTTCAACAAAAATAATGTTTGGACTATTTGACTGCAATTTCGTTTCTTTGTTATCTATTGTTGTAGTCGTTATTCAATGGGAGGCTTAGACTAATCTATGATGTTTTAGTCTTTGAAGGCCGGTTTTGTTGAAGATAAATATGTGTTGATAATTATATTATTTCTAATACCTAATTTAATAATTTAAACTTTCTGAGTTTTTAATGATTTTTTTATATGCGTAGTGTTCTGAAGTTTTTTCCTAATGTAATGAAATGTATTAAGAAGCTAAATGTTTTGTGCAGGTGTTGTTGATTGGGGGAACAGAAACAGTTGCTACAGCTATGGAATGGGCATTAGCCAATCTACTCAATCATCCAGAAGTGTTAAAGAAAGCTAAAACAGAAGTGGATACTCAAGTTGGAGATGAGCGCTTGATAGATGAATCTGACTTTGGAAACTTGCATTATCTTCAAAGCATCATCTCCGAGAATTTACGTTTATTTCCGGTGACGCCTCTTCTACCGCCACACATGCCATCCTCGGACTGTACCATTGGAGGATACAATGTCCCAGCTGGGACAATATTGTTCGTGAATGCATGGGCTCTTCATAGAGACCCTACGTTGTGGGATGATCCCACAAGTTTTAAGCCTGAGAGGTTTGAAACCGGGAGAGTTGATGGATACAAGTTCGTTCCATTTGGGATGGGAAGGAGAGCTTGTCCTGGGGATGGCCTAGCAAACAGAACCATGGCCTTGACTTTGGGATCATTGATACAGTGCTTTGAGTGGAAAAGGGTTGGTGAAAATAAAATTGATATGGCTGAAAAGACTGCAATGACGATGTGCAAAGCTGAGCCCTTAGAGCTTCTGTGTAAACCTCGCCCAATTCTGAACACGCTTCTCTCTTAACTCTCAAGTCATGCCAAAAAAAAAAAAAAAATAGAGAGAGAATAAAGAATAAATTTTTAGCTTAAGAATAAATTGATGATTTTGTGACTTGTATTTTTTACTTTTTTTGTAAAGCTATCAAAATAATTCATTCAAAATAAATAGTCGAGATTGTTAAATAACCGACCGTGACTTGAAATTTTTGAAAAGTTTAAAATAAAAAATTTGAATTTTATTTATTTATTTAATCTTCATTTCTGTCTTTGTTCTGCATATCTCCTGAAAACTGACCTACATAGTTTTCATTTATTCTTGTCGTCAAGACAGAGACAATTTTGATATTTGTTTGTCTACGTTAACCAAACATAATTTTTTTAAATCTCTTTTTTGTCCCTTTCTTTCTGTATTCTGAACCAAATGTTATTTGATATTATATACATAAAGTCATTCGAATAAAATATTTAATCTTGATAAATATACATGTTAAGTCAAAGATACTCATTAGCGTTGAATAAATAAATAAATAAAAGACGCAAATTAGCTGTCACATAAAATTTTAGTATGTTAGTTACCTTTGCCTTTCGATCCCAAGTGAGTTAAAAAAGAATATTTAATTACTTAAATTAAGGTGCTGCAGCTATGGAATGGGCATTAGCCAATCTACTCAACATCCAAAAGTGTTAAAAAAGCTAAAACAGCAGTTGACACTCAAGTTAGAGATGAACACTTAACAGATGAGCCTGATTTTACAAAATTGCATTACCTTCAAAACATCATCTCTGAGAATTTACGTTTATGTCCTGTAGCACCCCTTATATCACCACGTATGCCATTCACAGACTATACCATTGGAGGATACAATGTCCCAGCGGGGACAATATTGTCTGTGAATGCGTGGGCTCTCCATAGAGACCCTACATTAATGTGAGATGATCCCACAAGTTTTGAGCCTGAGAGGTTTGAAACTGGGAGAGTTGATGGATACAAGTTCATTCCATTTGGGATGGGAAGGAGAGCTTGTCTTGGGGATGGCTTAGCAAACAGAATCATGACCTTAACTTTGGGATCATTGATAAAGAGCTTTGAGTGGGAAAGGGTTGGTGAAAATAAAATTGATATGGCCGAGAAGATTGTAATAACAATGTGCAAAGTTGAGCCCTCAGAACTCCTGTGTAAGCCTCTTCCAATTCTAAACGTGCTTCTCTCTTAAGTCGTTAAAAAAAATAAATAATAACAATAATAAAATAAATTGTCAAGAGAGTGCATGCGATATTATAGCATAGTTCGAGAAATGATGAATTTAGTCTCTCTCTCTCTATACACATATATATATATATATAAAACACAAAATTTGCTTTTAAACTTTTTAGATTTAGAATTTTAAATCTAAATATTTTCTAATTTTGTTGGTGTAATAGTTCAAATTGGAGATCTTTTGTTTGATGATTTTGTGACTTGTATTTTTGACTTTTTTTAAAAAAAGCAAATGCAATTATCAAAATAATTCGATCAAAATAAATGATCAAGATTGATAGTGTTTGAAATTTTTGAAAAATTTAAAATATTAAATTTGAAAAAAAGAAATTCATTAAAACTCTGTCTCCGTTTTTGTTCCACATAACTTTTAAAAATTTTGATACATAATTTTGATTCATTTCTTTCGTCGATATAGAAACAAGACAATTTTGAATTTGTTTATGTGTCTTTATTAAACAAATATAATGTTTTTTATTTCCTATATATTCTTTTGTTATTTATTCCGAATCACAACCATCTAATGCTATATGCATAAAGTCATTCACAAAGAAAACTTAATTTCGATTAACAAATATATTAATTGAAAAATACCTATTAGCATTGAATAAAACAAAAAGAAGCAAATTTAACTTTCTCATAAAATTTATGATATATTTACTCAGTACACTAAAAAGGGAAAAAAATCGATTCAGAAAATTAAGAATTGTATTAAATTAAAGCTCCCGAATTTGATTTTTATGTCAATCAAATTGAAACATCTTCAGGATGCCACCGAACTAAGAAACAATGACACCGAACTTGCTTGCGTTTCTAGGCAATGAAGAGTGCCACCGTGGCATCGAATTTTTCTCACTTCTTGAAGAATCACACTTCTGAATCTTATTAAAAAAGATAGATGGATTAGAAACTGTTTATGGTTAATTAAAAAACGTATTTGATTAAGATTTTATTGTAAATTTAAGTGTTTATAAGATAAAAATACAACACATTTTTCTTCTTTTATCTCTTTTTTTAACATGTTTTTGAATATTATTTAGTAAAAATTTAAGAATTGTTGATCATAATTAATTCTTATATTGATTTTGGTGAATCCTGAAAGTATATTTGCGTGACAAATAATACTTTAGGATAATTGTTTTTTTGCATTAAAGCCTCTCATTCAACCTAATACTCCCCCAAAACGACTAATAGCTAATATCGTGTTTTAATTTTAAGAAATTAGTTTAGTAGTTAAATGACACTACATGCCTTGGTTGATGGACCTTGGACCATATTTAAGCATAAGAAAGCCCAACCAAAGTCAACTCTAAAGAGGCCCATTGTTGTTAACCTGCAAGCATGTCCTAATTGCGCAGCCCAGCCCACAACTCACCAAACAAGCCTACCCGGACATGAAAACTCCCGTCGTATATGTATATGTTTATTTAGCATAGATGCCAACGAAAGTTGAACAAGGTTGTCTTCTTCCTGTGAATAAACTTCAAACGGTTTTTTATTATTGAATCTATCCATAACATAAAGCTTGATGTATAGGAAGGAACAAAAGCAATTTTTTTTTCTCTACTTTTATGTATAAAAATAAATAATTAATTTCATCCCTCAATTTTTTTTTTGCTTTCTCTCAAATTCAAAAAAAAAAAAAAAATGTATGGGAAGGAACAAAAGAAATTTTTTTATATATTTATTTTAGAAATTTATTATGTAAATTTCTTTCAAATCCTATAATAGATTTCTGAAATAAATAAAAAAATTGGATTCTGATTTGAAATAATTTTTCTTAATAAGCTGAAATAAATAAATAAAAATTAGGTTTGGATTTGAAATAAATTTTCACAATAAATTTCTAAAATAAATAAAAAATTTTTTGCATCTGTTCTTTCATGTACAAAAAAAAATTTCTTTCTTTGTTTGCATTTGAGAGAGTAAAAAAAAAAAAAATGAGAAATGAAGTTAATTATTTACTTATATACATAAAGGTAGAGGAAAAAAAAGGGAATTTTGGGATTTATATTTTTTATATTTTTTTAATTAGGGTTTTTAATTTTTTTTAGATTTTTTTTTTAAATACCATGTGTTACCATTCTATACATCTATCGCTAGAAATTGATGCAGTTATTGAAAAACTTGAATGTAAGGATGAAATTAAAATGCAAATTAATAGTTGAGGGGCATGATTATTCAAAAAATTAATAAAAAGACATGATTAAGATAAATAAAATAATAGAAAGACATCTAGGCGTTTAACTCGTTTTTTGGGAGGTATTGGTTTTTATGGAAGGACGCTGATTTGAATTTCAAAGTGTTTGAGCATCATGGTCAATTTATGCATGTGCAAATTGAGTCTAACTCCAAAACATTTGTAGTTACAGTAGTGTATGCTAGTTCTCGTATGCAAACTCATAAGGATCTTTAGAAGGAACTCTGCAACCTTTCCTAAACTATTTCACAACCCTGGATGCTTGCTGGTGACTTTAATGCGATCTTGAGCCTTGATGAGAAGAGTGAGGGGCAAGGCTTTAACTATTACAATAGCTTGCATTTTCATAATTGTGTTACTGATTTGCTGCCTTATGGACTTGGGATTCCAGGGTCTAAAATTCCCTTGGAAAAAGGGTTTGGATTAGGAAAGGTTGGATAGAGCTCTCTGTAACCCTAATTGGAGAATATTGTTTCCGGGTGCTATTGTGAAATATTTAGTCAGAATTAAATCAGATCACAGACCGTTGCTAATACAAATCCAACCAGATACTCCTACTCGCTAGGACAGAACTTCTTCTGCTTCAAGGCTAACTAGCTTATTCATCCAAATTTTTGTAATTTTGCCTAGAAGACATGGAATTCATATGAGGATTTTACCAAGGAAATTAATGATTTTACTAGTGTTGCAAAAACTTAGAGTCAGTATGTGTTTGGGAATATCTTCAAAAAAAAAAAAAAAAAAAAGAGAGAAGCCCCTGTGCTCGTTTAGCTGGGATTGAGAAAGCCTTAGATTCTAGTTTTAATCCTTTTCTCATAACCTTGAAGCTAATTTGAAGGCTGAATTGGAGCAAGTTTTGTTTCAAAAGGAAATACGTTGGTTCCAAAAATTCAAAAGCAATCAAATTGTATTAAGAGACAGGAACACAAAATACTACGATGCAAGGACAGTGATAAACCACCAAAGAAACAAGATTTGTAGCTTGAAGAATGATTCAAGGAACTGGATTTTTGGTTCCAATAATTTGTTGAAGTTGGCACTAGACTTTAATAAAAAGCTTTTCGTAAATGACTTTTCCTCTTATTCGACAATCACCTTCTAAGTGCTTTTCCTCTGTTAAATTATCACTAATTAATTAAATTCTCTATCTGCCTTTTTACTTGATATAGAGGTCAGAATAGCAGTTTTTGCTATGGATCTTACAAAGAACCATGTATTGATGGTCTTGGTCCAATCTTTTATCAGAGTCAGTAGGGCATTATAGAAGCTAGGGTTTATGGGTTCATTTATAATATTTTTAACCATTCTGAATGGAATTTTTCTTTTGACAGAGCCCTATCAGTGCTACTTTTGAAGGTGGAAGCTCTTGAATCTGCTAGGCAATTTCGTCCAACAGGCTATGTAATATGTCTTGCAAAATCCTCACCAAGATTTTGGCAAATAAGATTAAACTAATCCTTCCTCATTTAATTTTCCCAATGCAAGTTAGTTTTATATCTGAAAGGAATATCAATGACAACATTCTAATAGCTTAGAAAATTATCCACATGATGAGACACAAGAAGGGGAGAAAAAGGTTTATGGCTATTAAGCTAGACTTGGAGAAGGCTTATGACAAATCAAGATGGGATTTGAATCTGGAGATTGTTTAGGATGCTGAATTTGCAGATGTAGTAGTCACTATAACAAAAAATTCTTTATAGAGGCGAAACATTTGAGGCGGTAAAAAAAAAAAACGCCTCAAAGCTTAATAATTTTATATTATTAACCACCTCTTCGGCCAGCCCACTTTTTTTTTCTTTTCCTTTTCTTTTTCCATTGGGATTCTAAAAAAATAAAAAGAATAGCCGCTTCTTATCTCGCCCATCCCTTCAACTTTCCAGATCTATGGTTTTTCTTCTTTCAATTCAATTGCCCTGCTTCAAAAAGTAAACCCATTTCATTACCATTCTTCTCTTTTCATGGTATTTAAATTAATAAAAAACTCTCCTTTCATGGTATGAAAAACGCCATTCTTAGTTTAATTTTTCTCCTTGTTTCTCATTACAGGGAAACTTGACAAGCTTGAAGCCAAAGACAACCAAGGTTAAGAAAGAAAGGAAAGAGAAAGGGAAGAGGTATCTCAATGGTATAAGGAAACAGCTGTGGATTCGGTATGAGAGGTTAGAAGTCTCGATCTGGTCCTATGTTTGAAAAGAGTTTCTCCTGTGTCTTTCGCTATTTATATCTTTTTCTATTTGATTATTTGATCATTATCAACCAAATGATTTGTACCTTATTAGGATTGTTTGTTTTTCCTCATACGTCTTTCACTATTTATATTCTTTTCTATTCGATTATTTGATCGTTGTTTTTATAAATCATAGCTCTATTTTTTTTATCTTGATTAGTCTGTCGACTAGTCATCTAATCGGATTTCGATAACCTTCCAATATACTAGTCTTCTTGGCAATAAAGAGAGTCACCGTGGCATCCAATTTTTTTGAGTTATTGAAGAATCACACTTCTTAATCATAAAAAATGACAGTTGGGTTAGAAACTTTTTGTGAATAGTTAAGAGATGTATTTGATCATGATTCTATCATAAAATATAAGTGTTTATAAGATAAAAAAAATACAAAAGGGTTTTTTTTTTAATCTCTTTCTTGTTCTTGAGTATTTATTTTAGTAGGAATTTTAGAGTTGTTGATCATAATATATTTTGCCTTGAACTTATCAATAAACTAATACTGGCGATGACAAATAATAATTTAAGGATAAAATTACTTAATTTAGTGCCTCTCGTTTGAATCCCATATTCTCCCACACAACTAGTAACTTGCTTGGGTCGGTGGCCTACAACGTGTTAATTCAAAAACAAAATTAAAAACTCAAATAGAAAAGTTAGCCCACTCAACTCCTATATATATATATCAAAAAAATAAAAAATAAAAAATAAAAAACAAAGAAACATAAACTTTTTTTATTCCCTGTAAAAAAAAAAAAATTATATTGACACTTAGATTGTAGAATTTTAGATAATAATTATTACTCTCTATTGATTTAGTAAAATTACTTTCAACTGAGTGTTGATTATAAATTTGTTATTTACGTTTGATTTACATATTTTATTACACTAAGGAATTAGATTAGAGGTCAAGAAGATTTGCTTTCTTGTTTAATTTCTCAAATTCGAATTTTATGACTAGTATTTTATATGAATTTATTTTTTTAAATATACCAGAGATAATTAAATGTTTTTTATAATTATTTGAAAAAAAATATTTTCGATTGATGAGGGCTCAAAATATTTTGGCTATCGAATAAATAAAAAATCACCTACGACGTACGTATTTTTCTGACCCAAACGTACAAAAGTTTTGCCCTCGCTAGAATCATTTCAGGTGGGCCGTCCTCCCTAAATTTAATGCTTTTTTTTTTTTTCCAGAGAGATTTGTAATCTTTGATAAACAGTTAGAAATTATAATCGTTTTAGTAAATAGTTTTAATTTTAAATTTTTATATACATAAATTTTTTTTAAAATAATTATGTATGTTTTATATGCTTGATAGAATAAAAAATAATTATTTTAAATTTGAGATATTCACGAAAATAGAAAAAAAGCCCATTTATTTCTTTTACTTGATACAATATATGGATTCAAAGAATTTAAAATTCATTACAATGTCAAATCTTCAGAAATTGCATATATATATATATAAAAAAAATTCATCCAACCCTTTACAGGATCTGAACTTCTAATTCTCAACTGATAATGTCAAATCTCAACTTTATAAAAATAATAAAAAAAATCATGGATAGCAGCACCAAAAGAAAGCTAAGTTGGTAAAAAAAGAAAGGTTTGGTTTTGGTTAAGAAGAGCAATGATTCCAGGAAGCGTAAAATTCAGGTTTGATGGAGCAAATCAATTTGATTGACTGGGCAGGGAAGAGACTATGTTTTTGCTTCCTTTCCTTGTCTGCCTTTATTAGTTTTGGCATCAAGTTGGTTTGTTTGCAATGTTACATCTTGTCAAAATGTCAAATCCCTCGGGGTCCTTTCCTTTTATGTTTTGTCTGCTGGGCTGAAATTTAATAATATAACACTAATGTAGTTCAGAATTTAATTTCGAGCGACCCAAAATCTGATCTGAAATTACCTCAACCTCAGCAGACAAACGCACATGCTCACGCATAAGAAGCTGTTCAATTAGACCGGTAGCCAAAAAAGGATACCTAAAGTTTTCTAAGTACTTGAAAAGAAACAAGGACGATTAATCAGTAAAGCTGCCCAATTTGACCGGGAGCCTGAGAGTGGACCTTTACTTTTCGAAGTACTTAACAAGAAACGAGAAGATGAATTGGCTAGCTACTGAAAAAACAAACAGGTTGAACATGGAAGAAGAAGACTCTGCTAGTTCTAGGCAATTCCTAAGCTACTCTCTTCTTCCATGCCTTGTGTTTCTTGTTCTTTCGATCAAGTTCTTGCTGCAGAAAAGAAAGCGAAGCAATCTCCCACCAAGCCCGTTTGCTCTTCCAATTATAGGCCATCTCTATCTCCTCAAACAACCTGTCCAAAGAACACTCACCTCTCTCTCACAAAAATATGGTCCAATATTTTCTCTCAAACTCGGATCCCGCCTCGCCGTTTACATATCTTCACCATCAGCGGTGGAAGAATGTTTCACCAAGAACGATATTGTCTTGGCCAACCGTCCTTTCTTTTTGAGTGGCAAGTACTTAACTTACAATAACAACACCATGGGCTCAGTTGAATACGGTGATCATTGGCGCAACCTTCGCCGCATAAGCGCTCTTGAAATCTTCTCTCCTTCTCGCCTCACTTCTTTATTTGGCATCCGAAGAGATGAAGTCAAGATCTTACTGCGCAGACTTTACCGTGTTTCCAGTCATGGTAATTACGCTAAGGTGGAGTTAAGGTCAATGCTTTTGGACTTGACGAGTAATATCGTAATGAGAATGGTTGCAGGGAAGAGGTATTATGGCGAAGGTGTTAAGGAAATTGAAAAAGAAGAAGCCAGGATATTTAGGGAGATTGTGGAAGAGTTTTTTCAATATATTGCCATGACAAATGTGGGGGATTTGGTTCCAATGTTGCAGTGGGTTGATTTTACTGGGCACCTGAAGAAGTTGGATAGACTAAGCAAAAAGTTGGATCTGTTCTTGCAAAGATTGATCGATGAGCATCGAGAAGACAGGGACAGAAACACTATTATAAACAGTTTTCTTACTTTGCAGGAACAACATCCTGAATACTACACGGATGAAGTTATCAAAGGCCATGCTCTGGTTAGTCAAATCTAACTCTTTTCCCGCTGATTCATCATCATATCTATTATATTAGAGGTTGAAGATAACATTTTACAGGCACCTGATTGTCCAAATTTAAACCACAAAAATGTTTTTGTTTTAAAAAATCGATATCACAAAAGTTTTTAATGTTATTAAAGCAACCTTTTATCATATACATATACATCCGATGTTGTTCTTGCGCTAAAACATCTCCAAACTTATGTTCAGGGAAAGCAATTTACCAACGGATAAAATGAGAAGATGGGCAGTTGTAGAACCCAGTTAATGTCAGTGCTCGTGTTTAGCATATATAATAGGAGAAATTTTATAATACTCTCCATTAACCTATTTTTTAGTCGACAGATATAGATAAGGAAAAAAAAAATTTACATTCTGACTTATTAAATAGTTATAAGAAGAGTTTTATGTATATTTTTTTAATTTTTTCTATATTTTTTTTATTGAATAATTTTTATATGGTACTCTTTGATTATTATAAAATTTATCAGAATAATACATATGATGTTTTAGACTTGGATCTCCTAATATAAGAATCGATGCACGCGACAAAATCCAAAAGCCCGTTTTGTTGAACAAAAATAATGTTTTGACTATTTGACTGCAATTTCGTTTCTTTATGATCTATTATTGTAGTCGTTATTCAATGGGAGGCTTAGACTAATCTATCATGTCTTTGAAGGCTGGTTTTGTTGAAGATAAATATGTGTTGATAATTATATTATTTCTAATACCTAATTTAATAATTTAAACTTTCTGAGTTTTTAATGATTTTCTTATATGCGTGGTGTTCTGAAGTTTTTTCCCAATGTAATGAAATGTATTAAGAAGCTAAATGTTTGGTGCAGGTGTTGTTGCTTGGAGGAACAGAAACAGTTGCTACAGCTATGGAATGGGCATTAGCCAATCTGCTCAATCACCCAGAAGTGTTAAAGAAAGCTAAGACAGAAGTGGACACTCAAGTTGGAGATGAGCACTTGATAGATGAGTCTGATTTTGGAAACTTGCATTACCTTCAAAGCATCATCTCCGAGAATTTACGTTTATTTCCTGTAACGCCTCTTATACCACCACACATGTCATCCTCAGACTGTACCATTGGAGGATACAATGTCCCAGCTGGGACAATATTGTTCGTGAATGCATGGGCTCTTCATAGAGACCCTACGTTGTGGGATGATCCCACAAGTTTTAAGCCTGAGAGGTTTGAAACCGGGAGAGTTGATGGATACAAGTTCGTTCCGTTTGGGATGGGAAGGAGAGCTTGTCCTGGGGATGGCCTAGCAAACAGAACCATGGCCTTGACTTTGGGATCATTGATACAGTGCTTTGAGTGGGAAAGGGTTGGTGAAAATAAAATTGATATGGCTGAAAAGACTGCAATGACGATGTGCAAAGCTGAGCCCTTAGAGCTTCTGTGTAAACCTCGCCCAATTCTGAACATGCTTCTCTCTTAACTCTCAAGTCATGCCCAAAAAAAAAAAAAAAAGAATAAAGAATAAATTTTTAGCTTAAGATGAAAGCTTTTGTTTGATGATTTTGTGACTTTTATTTTTTACTTTTTTGTAAAGCAAATGCAATTATCAAAATAATTCATTCAAAATAAATAGTCAAGATTATTAAATAACGACCATGACTTGAAATTTTTGAAAAGTTTAAAATAAAAAATAAATTTCTGTCTTCATTTATTCTTGTCGTCAAGACATAGACAATTTTGATATTTGTTTGTCTACGTTAACCAAACATAATTTTTTTAAATCTCTTTTTTGTCCCTTTCTTTCTGTATTCTGAACCAAATGTTATTTGATATTATATACATAAAGTCATTCGAATAAAATATTTAATCTTGATAAACATACATGTTAAGTCAAAGATACTTATTAAGTCAAAGATACTTATTAGCATTGAATAAATAAATAAAAACAAAGACGCAAATTAGCTGTCACATAAAATTTATTGTATATTTACTCAATACACTAAAAAAAATTCCCAAATACACAAAGTAAATGACCAAAAAGTTGGATTAATTTACGACAGATGCCATTATTTTTATTCGTTAAAATTTTGGAATCAAGGGAAATAAACCAACGGTGTGAATTGGTTGACTATATTCAAAAGAATATCTCCATTGGATTAAATATCTCCAACGGTTTCACTACTGAAGCAGTAATTCTCTGGTAAAAAACAAAAATGATTAAGTTATAAATAATTCTAAAAACATAAGAATGAATGAATTAATTTTTAAAACTAAATAGACTATTTAATTTTTTAAAATAACTAAAGAGACTAACTTATTATTTACTTCTAGAATATTTAATTGGACGTGATTTTAAAAAAAGTATGTTAGTTAAAAAAGAATATTTAATTACTTAAATTAAGGTGCTGCTGCTTGCCGGAACAGAATTAGTTGCCGCAACTATGGAATGGGCATTAGCCAATCTACTCAACATCCAAAAGTGTTAAAAAAGCTAAAACAGCAGTTGACACTCGAGTTAGAGATGAACACTTAATAGATGAGCCTGATTTTACAAAATTGCATTACCTTCAAAACATCATCTCTGAGAATTTACGTTTATGTCCTGTAGCACTCCTTATACCAGCACGTATGCCATTCACAGACTATACCATTGGAGGACACAATGTCCCAGCTGGGACAATATTGTCTGTGAATGCATGGGCTCTTCATAGAGACCCTACGTTAATGTGAGATGATCCCACAAGTTTTGAGCCTGAGAGGTTTGAAACTGGGAGAGTTGATGGATACAAGTTCATCCCATTTGGGATGGGAAGGAGAGCTTGTCTTGGGGATGGCTTAGCAAACAGAATCATGACCTTAACTTTGGGATCATTGATAAAGAGCTTTGAGTGGGAAAGGGTTGGTGAAAATAAAATTGATATGGCCGAGAAGATTGTAATAACAATGTGCAAAGTTGAGTCCTTAGAGCTCCTGTGTAAGCCTCTTCCAATTCTAAACGTGCTTCTCTCTTAAGTTATTAAAAAAAAAAAAAACAACAATAAAATAAATTGTCAAGAGAGTGCATGCGATATTATAGCATAGTTCGAGAAATGATAAATTTAGTCTCTCTCTCTCTCTCTATATATATATATATAAAACACAAAATTTTCTTTTAAACTTTTTAGATTTAGAATTTTAAATCTAAATATTTTCCAATTTTGTTGGTGTAATAGTTCAAATTGGAGATCTTTTGTTTGATGATTTTGTGACTTGTATTTTTGACTTTTTTTAAAAAAAGCAAATGCAATGAGTAAAATAATTTGATCAAAATAAATGGTCAAGATTGATATATGAAGGACACTGTTTGAAATTTTTGAAAAGTTTAAAATAGTAAATTTGAAAAAATGAAATTCATTAAAACTCTGTCTCCGTTTTTATTCCACATAACTCTTAAAAATTTTGGTATATAATTTTGATTCATCTCTGCCGTCGATACAGAGACAAGACAATTTTGAGTTTGTTTATGTCTCTTTATTAAATAAATATAATTTTTTCTATTTCTTATATGTTCTTTTCGTTATTTATTCTGAATCACAATCATCTAATGCTATATACATAAATTCATTCAGAAATAAAACTTAATTTTGATTAACATATATATTAATTGAAAAATATATGTTAGCATCGAATAAAACAAAAAAAAGCAAATTTAACTTTCTCATAAAATTTATGGTATATTTACTCAGTACGCTAAAAAAGGGGGAAAAAAATCGGCTCAAAAAATTAAGAATTGTATTAAATTAAAGCTCCCCAATTTGATTTTTATGTCAATCAAATTGAAACATCTCCAGGATGCCACCGAACTAAGAAACAATGACACCGAATTTGCTTGTGTTTCTAGGCAATGAAGAGTGCCACCGTGGCATCGAATTTTTCTCACTTCTTGAAGAATCACACTTATGAATCTTATTAAAAATGATAGATGGATTAGAAACTGTTTACGGTTAATTAAAAAACGTATTTGATCAAGATTTTATTGTAAATATAAGTGTTTATAAGATAAAAATACAACATATTTTACTTCTTTTATCTCTTTTTTGAACTTGTTTTTGAATATTATTTAGTAAAAATTTAAGAATTGTTGATCATAATTAATTCTTATATTGATTTTGGTGAATCCTGAAAGTATATTTGCGTGACAAATAATACTTTAGGATAATTTCTTTTTGCATTAAAGCCTCTCATTCAACCTAATACTCCCCCAAAACGACTAATAGCTAATATCGTGTTTTAATTTTAAGAAATTAGTTTAGTAGTTAAATGACACTACATGCCTTGGTTGATGGACCTTGGACCATATTTAAGCATAAGAAAGCCCAACCAAAGTCCACTCTAAAGACGCCCATTGTTGTTAACCTGCAAGCACGTCCCAATTGCGCAGCCCAGCCCACAACTCACCAAACAAGCCCACCCAGACATGAAAACTCCCTTCATATATGTATATGTTTATTTAACATAAATGCCAGCGAAAGTTGAACAAGGTCGTCTTCTTCCTGTGAATAAACTTCAAACGGTTTTTTATTATTGAATCTATCCATAACATAAAGCTTGATACCCAATTCATTTTTAGGATCAACAAATGGCCTTGTTCTTGGGGGAGAATGTACCTTCTTCTACACAAATAAGCCCAATATTTTCAGGCCCGTAAGCCATATCCTGCTGACTTGCCATATAATACTTAAAGGTCCAATTGAGCCCAGACATATCAGCCCAGCCAACCTAAGGTGATCCATCTGCTGGACATACAGACCCAACACAACACAAGCCCGTTGAAGACAAACAAAAAGAGCTCCCAAATGTTAACCATACAGGTTCTCTTTTGCACCAGATATTACTAATACTCTGATACTCTAAAACCGAAAGCACAGAAGACACTTTCATCGTGCCTTCTATAGTTCTTTTCACTGTTTAATGAACAGTGTTTCTCCTTATATGCTTGGCTTTTTTTTCCCCTTTATATATATATATATATATATATATATATATATATATATATATATATATTATAACTAATACTCTAAAATACTCTAAAACACAAACCACTTTCGCTTCACAATCATTGTTCATTTCACTCTTTAATGAACAATATTTTTTCTAGTTGTTCTTTTTTTTTTTTTTTTTTTCCTCAGAGTTGCTTAGCTAGGCTTTTAGAGAAATTTTTTTCATCCCTGTTTTGTAATATTTTTTTATTTTGGTTATTAAAAATTTATTATATTTGATTTTTATCTGTATAATAAATATTAAAATTTTATTATATTTGATTTTTATCCTTATAATAAATATTTTTTTCTGGAATTTTAGTAAAAATTTATATTTTTGTTGTTCTATTTTGTGATATGTTTTTATTTTAGTCATTAAATTTTTATTATATTCGATTTTTATCCTTACTATACTAAAACTAAATAAATTTTACTATCCTAAACTTTTTTTATACTCTTCACTCCTTTTTTCCTTTTTTTTCCTTTTTAACCCTCACAATATACTATTCACTTTTAGGTGTTTTTTTTTTCCTTTTTAAATTTTCACTCTTAGTATTTTTTTCTTTTTTTCTTAGGTTTTGTTTTTAATTTTCAAATTATTATTTTTTGATTTTTTTTATTGTAATTTTCACTCTTACTTTTTTTCCTTAGTTTTTTTTTTTTGTAATTTTCAAATTATTTCATTTTAATCCCTAGCTGATGCACTACATGCCTTTTTTTTTCTTTGATTTTTTTCATCAATTTATATATTTTTTTATTTAATTGGGTGTTAAATTTTTTAAAAATCAATCGTTACTTTTTTTTTTCACACAAACTGTTGATTATATAATATATATATAAATCAAATATATGTACTTAAAAAAATAATCTTCTCATTAACATTAAATAAAAAAGATTTTATTTTTTTATTGGTTAATTTTTATGCAAGTCTATACATTAATTGTAACTTTATTTTTTAGATATATTATTATAAAACAATATATTTTTAAAGCATTTGTTTTTATATTTTGAATTAACATTTCAAGTTTAAATTATATATTACAAGTTTTTATTTAGGAATCCCTAAATAAAGAAAAATAAATCATGTTTTTTTGTTAAGCAGAAATTTTATAAAAAAACACAAAAAAAGTAATAATTAAGGAAAAAATTATAAAATTTTGAAATGATTTTGTTTTATCTACCGTAGCGTTGCGTTGATAATTTTAAAATTAATCTTCTTATCAGTATTAAATAAGAATTTTTATAAAAGTCTATTTATTAATTATAACTTTATTTTTTGAAATACAATATTATGAAAAAGTTTTTCATCCATAAAGAAGAATGATTTATTTTTTTTAAGCAAAAGAATTTATAAAAAAAATTAAAAACATTTAATTAAATAAGAAATTATAATTAATTTTTTTTAAAATTTTAAAATGAGTTTATTCTATTAGACCCGTATCTTTTTTTTATAAAAGTCGATCAATATAAAAAGAGAAAAGAGCTAGCAAGAAAGTGGCTATAATAACAGTTTATAATATAAATAAGAAGACAAACTAAATAACAACATTTCTAAAAACAGCAAAACTAGACCCTAACAATAAAACGATGAATTATCTATTCAACGAGCCCAAACAATGGATTCTTAAAGTATTTATCCATCTTTTGATTTTATTTGAGCTAATAAAAAGATCATTTTCAGAATAGATAAAATGATCATCAATATATCTAGCCCAATGCACCACTCTATGGAAAACCAAAGAAAGAACGTTGTCCCAATCAGTAGTGGTACCATTAAAGATAAGATCATTTCGCATTAGCCAGATCAACCATGGGCTTGAATAGAGAACAAGAAATCACACTTTCTTCTGCATATGTCCATGAACATAAAAGCTTCATTGTTGAAAAAGATGTCCACAGATTTAGGGACAATCCATGAACAGCCCCATCAGTGAAAGATTTTAGACCATAACTATCAGACCGCATAGCTTAATGCGAGCAATCGGCTAGTGTTTCCTATTTTGCTATAGTGATGTGATAGTATGGGTAGGGATGGTGCCTGGAAAGAGGAAACAAAGGTGAGTATGGATTTTATGACGGGTAATTGGCAGCCTGAGGAGTCAAGGAGTGATGCTAGTGTACCCAAACCTTCAATTCCATGAGACTATGAGACATTAGTCATAAAAAGAAGAAAGACCCTCTCAAATCCCGAATCCCGCTAAAAAAACTATTTGCAAAGCTAGTGTAGCAAATAGAGAGATGACAAACAATGGGCTGTAAGCTATACCTCTAGATACTATTAGTAAGGAGAATGATGGGGCCCTGCAGAACTCAGTCAGTTAGGAAATTGGTGGTTCTGACAAGCCACTTTTGAATGTCTGGCTCGGTATTTAGCTGCTTTATCTTGTTCTAATTTTTTATTTGAATGAATTTTATGATTTGGAATTTCCAGCTAGCTGGCCACAAATTGTTTATCTCGTTGTTGATATTTGTTGGGTTTATACAAGTCATCAGGTCTGGTGTTAATTTAGCCTTGGATTATCAGTACCCAAGCCTTTAAAACCATTAAGCAGCTGGATTTTTCTAATTCTCATTGGATTGAAAGCTATGGGTTTTTTTTTTTAGGGTTAAAGAGTTAGGATATCCTTCTATTATTTCATTTGTTGTAACCATGTCCATCTATTAGTTTTTTCAATAATTGCATCCCTCAATTATTACTTTACGTCTTAATTTCATCTCTTCGTCCAATTTTTTCTAATAACTGTATCAATTTTCGATGATAAATACACATGATGATAACACATGGAATTTTTTTCTAAAAAAATATGAAAAAATAAAAAAACCTTAAACTTCCACTATTTTTCTCTACTTTTATGTATAAAAATAAATAATTAATTTCATCCCTCAATTTTGTTTTTGCTTTCTCTCAAATTCAAAAAAAAAAAAAATGTATAGGAAGGGACAAAAGAAATTTTTTTTTATATATTTATTTTAGAAATTTATTATGTAAATTTCTTTCAAATCCTATAATAGATTTCTGAAATAAATAAAAAAATTGGATTCTGATTTGAAATAATTTTTCATAATAAGCTGAAATAAATAAAAAAAAATTAGGTTTGGATTTGAAATAAAGTTTCACAATAAATTTCTAAAATAAAAAAAAATTGCATCTGTTCTTTCCTGTACAAAAAAAATTTCTTTTTTGGTTTGCATTTAAGAGAAAGTAAAAAAAAAATGGAGAAATGAAATTAATTATTTACTTATATACATAAAGGTAGAGGAAAAAAAGTGGAATTTTAGGATTTATATTTTTTATATTTTTTTTTAATTAGGGTTTTTAATTTTTTGAGAATTTTTTTTTTAAAATACCATGTGTCAACATTCTATACATCTATCGCTAGAAATTGATGCGATTACTGAAAAATTTGAATGAAACGACGAAATTAAAACGTAAATTAATAGTTGAGGGGCATGATTATTCAAAAAATTAATAAAAAGACATGATTAAGATAAATAAAATAATAGAAAGATATCCTAGGCGTTTAACTCATTTTTTGGGAGGTACTGGTTTTTATGGAAGGACGCTGATTTGAATTTCAAAGTGTTTGAGCATCATGGTCAATTTATGCATGTGCAAATTGAGTCTAACTCCAAAAAATTTTTAGTTACAGTAGTGTATGCTAGTTCTCGTATGCAAACTCATAAGGATCTTTAGAAGGAACTCTGCAACCTTTCCCAAACTATTTCACAACCCTGGATGCTTGTTGGTGACTTTAATGCGATCTTGAGCCTTGATGAGAAGAGTGAGGGGCAAGGCTTTAACTATTACAATAGCTTGCATTTTCAGAATTGTGTTACTGATTTGCTGCCTTATGGACTTAGGATTCCAACGTCTAAAATTCCCTTGGAAAAAGGGCTTGGATTAGGAAAGGTTGGATAGAGCTCTCTGTAACCCTAATTGGAGAATATTGTTTTCGGGTGCTATTGTGAAATATTTGGTCAGAATTAAATCAGATCATAAACCGTTGCTAATACAAATCCAACCAGATACTCCTACTCGCTAGGACATAACTTCTTCTGCTTCGAGGCTAACTAGCTTAGTCATCCAAAATTTTGTAATTTTGCCTAGAAGACATGGAATTCATATGAGGATTTTACCAAGGAAATTAATGATTTTACTGGTGCTGCAAAAACTTAAGAGTCAGTATGTGTTTGGGAATATCTTCAAAAAAAAAAAAAAAAAAGAGAAGCCCCTATGCTCGTTTAGCTGGGATTGAGAAAGCCTTAGATTCTAGTTTTAATCCTTTTCTCGTAACCTTGAAGCTAAGTTGAAGGTTGAATTGGAGCAAGTTTTGTTTCAAAAGAAAATACGTTGGTTCCCAAAATTACAAAAGCAATCAAATTGTATTAAGAGATAGGAACACAAAATATTACGATGCGAAGACAGTGATGAACCACCAAAGAAACAAGATTTGTAGCAATAATTTGTTGATGTCGGCACTAGACTTTAATAAAAAACTTTTCATAAATGGCTTTTCCTCTTATTCGAAAATCACCTTTTAAGTGTTTTTCCTCTGTTAAATTATCACTAATTAATTAAATTCTCTATCTGCCTTTTTACTTGATATAGAGGTCAAAATAGCAGTTTTTGCTATGGATCCTTACAAAGAACCATGTATTGATGGTCTTGGTCCAATCTTTTATCAGAGTCAGTAGGGCATTATAGAAGCTAGGGTTTATGGGTTTATTTATAATATTTTTAACCATTCTGAATGGAATTTTTCTTTTGACAGAGCCCTATCAGTGCTGCTTTTGAAGGTGGAAGCTCCTAAATCTACTGGCCAATTTCGTCTAATAGGCTATGTAATATGTCTTGCAAAATCCTCACCAAGATTTTGGCAAATAAGATTAAACTAATCCTTCCTCATTTAATTTTCCCAATGCAAGTTAGTTTTGTATCCAAAAGGAATATCAATGACAACATTATAATAGCTGAGAAAATTATTCACATGATGAGACACAAGAAAGGGAGAAAGAGGTTTATGGCTATTAAGCTAGACTTGGAGAAGGCTTATGAAAAATTAAGATGGGATTTGAATCTGGAGACTCTTTAGGATGCTGAATTTATGGATGTAATAGTATCTTTAATTTTTTATAAAATGTCTCTACCTCTTTTTTATGTATTTCTTGAAATAGGGTCACTTATAAGATTTTTTATTCGTCAAGGGGTATCAGTCCAGGGAATCCACTCTCTTTGTATATCTTGTTTTATGTATGGAAAGGTTGAGCCAAATGATTAATCAATCTATTTAGTTTGGAGATTGGAAGCCGATTGCTCTCAACATAATTGGTCCTACTATTTCATATCTCTTATTTGCTGATGATCTTATGTTGTTTGCTGAAGGCAACACTTCTCAAATTAGAATCATTAAACAAGTTCTTGAATGTTTTGTGATAGCTCGTGTATGAAAGTCAGCGTAGCAAAGTCTAATATTTTTCACTCACCTAATACTTCTAAGCCGTTGGCTAGGAATATTACCTCAATATCAAGGCTTTTCCCTACTGATAATTTTAGTAAATACTTGGGGGTTCTAGTGATACATGGTAAGTTTACAAAGCAAACTTACAAATATATTATTGATAAAGTCCAGAAGAAACTTTCAGGTTGAAAAGCACAACATTTTTCATTAGTAAGGAGAATCACTCTGACTAAATAAGTATTAACAACAATCTCTATTTATACTAAGCAATCCACTCGTCTTTCTATTGTTACTTGCGATGCTCTAAAGAAGCAATGCAAAAATTTTGTATGGGGTTTAACGAAAGATAAAAGGAAGACTCGTCTAATGGGCTGGACCTCAGTTTGTCGACTCAAAGATAGAGGTGGCCTTAGGTTGTAGAATCTCAAAATCACTAATGAGGCATTCCTATTTAAATTGGGTTGGAACCTCCTAACTAATAGTAATGGTTTTTAGGTTCAAGTGTTTTTTATTAAGTATCAGCAAGATTTCAATTCTTTACCAGACTCCCTTAACTCGATCAATAGAAAGGGATCGCTTTAATTTGGCCTTCTTTTTTTATTAAAGGGATGGGATGGTCTATTCGAAATGGAAGCAGTACTTGTTTTTGGCTACATAGTTAGGCTATAGGTATTGGTCCCCTTATCCATCTGCTTTTGAATGATCTTCTTTTCAATTCACATAATACAAAAGTTAAGGAGTGTAATGGCATATGGAAAAAATTCTACTTTTTTTTTTTTTTTTTTATCTTAAACTATCTGCCTAAGGATTACTAGTATCCAACCCCCTAATGTATACTTTGGTGCTAATTTTCTATCAGATCAGCTTATGAATTGCTTAGCACAAATCACTGGCATCCTCCTAATTCTTTGTGGTTGATTATTTAGCATTGGTGTGGCCCTGAATGCATTCGGACATTCCTTTTATTGGTTGGACATGGTATGCTCCTCACTAATGAACAAATAGTGAGTCATCATTTAACCGATGATAGTAATTGCAGTATTTGTGCTAATGCAAAATTACCTTACATGTGTTGAAGGACTGTTCATAGGTGATGTTGATATGGTTAGGGTTTGATGCGAGTGAGCTTATTTCTAATTTTTTTTTAGTTGACCTCAATGATTGGTTGCTTATCAACTTGACTTGTACCAAAATGGTGGCACGAGGAATTCCATGGGATATTTAGTCTAGAGTGGTATGCTTTAGAGACTTTGGCTATGGAAAAATGATGATATTTTTAACCCGAAAGCTTCTTTTTGAATAATCTACTATTTTATTTATGCTCATAGATAATAAAAATAGTGACTTGTAATTCAATATTAACTTCACTCAACTCTATCACAACTAAAAAGAAAAAACAACTTATTCAATGGAAATTTCCTAAGATGGGTTTTGTGAAAATTAACATAGATGGTTCAGTTGTTACCATCAATGGTTTGGCTCTAGTAGGAGGATTGATTCAGGATTTTTTAGGTAATTGCTTGTATTGCTTTGCTTATAAGTTTGTCATCTGTTTTGTATTAACTACAAGATTGTGGTAGATCTTAATTGGTCAAGAGTTGGCCTAGAATAATGGATTCAGGAAGATCAATCTTGAAGTGGATTCTAAACTAGCTATTGTCCTATTGATTAATAAAGATAATTTGATATCATCTCATAGCCAGTTAACCATTTCTTTCCATCGACTATTACAACGTGTTTGGAAAGTTCAACTTCGCCATATCTATCATGAAAATAATAGATGTGCAAACTGGTTAACTAGTTATTCTCATTCCCTAGATGTTGGAATCCATCATTTCTAAAAAGCTCATATAGGCTGTTTAAGTTTTGTATTAGAGGATATTTATGGGATTTACTTTTCCAAAATGATATAATTGTATTCCTTTGGAGCATTGCCCTCCTTCTATTAAAAGAAAAAAATAAAATAAAATTAACGTGACCTAACACAACCAATGTCAAGCCACAAAAACTAATAATAAAGGCTCAAAAGGACTACAATTACCACTTATAGCCAATTAGAAAACAATACCACCTATATAGTTGATGTTGCTATAAAATATCAAAAAATGTTGGGAGTTAGACTTTTAGAAAGTAAATTATAAATTAGTCTCTTTAGTTTTGATAAATTAATTAATTAATTTCTTTTACTTTAAAAATTAATTATTTAATCTATAAATTTTTAATTTTATTTTGTAAATTAACTCTTTTCGTTCTTTGTCAATTTTTTTTAAGATATAGAAAAAAAAAGTATAAAAGATTAATGAGAAATATAATAAATTAAATAATATTAAATTAAATATGGTAAACTTATCACCTTTTGAGACTACAAAATTAGTTTTTAAAACAAAAAGAATTAATTAATTCATTCATTTTTTTTTAAATAAAGAGATTAATTTATAATTTAGTCAGACTTTTGGGTTTATGCGTGTGAATAAAGAAAAGAAGACTATTGGGGCATCAAATCACATTGATCTTTAAGGGGATACGACGAAGTCAAATTGATCTGCCATTTCTCTGCCTGAAATTAAAGTAAAATACAAGGTTGCTTTTTTATTGCATCAAGTAGCATCGTATAGGTTTTGAATGTATAAAAAGTCAATGCTCCCGTTAATATCACATTTTATTAAATTAATTAATCATGAATGAAAGAATAGAAAAAACTTGACTTTTGGTCATTTTTATAAGTTTTAAATGGAGATTTATATTTGGGTGACATGCAGTACTAGTGGAAATAAGAACATTTAGTATTTAATTGTAAAAAAAATAAAACTATACAAAATTGTGCAAGTCATCAAGTTAAGCTAAGGAGAGACATATTAAATTAATTTACTTTGCCTTTCTTTATCAAATGTTTGTTTTTTTTTCAATTCAAAAGTAATAATTGCGTGGACGCTAACAATATTTTATGGATGATTTTGGGCTTTTAAAAGTGCAGATGTGATTCGTAACAAGCAATAAAATTAATTAGCATTGAAATGAATGCATTGATAAAATATTAAGTTTAACAAACTACAACTATGATATGATTTTTTATATATTTATCTTTTTTTAAAAAAATAAATTTATAAAGTAACTATTATATATATATATATATATATATATATATATATATATATATATATATATATTAGTTACTCTTAAGTATTATAAAATGTTCAGTATATATATAGTTCATTAGAATATGAAGTAAATTATAATCTAGTCCTTTTAGTTTTGTAAAATAAATTAAACAATTTTTTTGTTTTAAAATTAATTAATTATTTTTTTATTCAGTATTAACCATGATTATTTTAATATTAAAAGGACTAAATTAATTTATTTTGAAAACCTAAAGGGACTAACTTGTAATTTACTTTTAGAATTTTTAATTGGACGGTTTTTAACAAAAGCATATGGTCAGTTACGTACCTTTGCTTTTTAATCCAAAACGAGTTCAAAAAGCCTCTAATATATATATACACACCGGTAGCCTTAAAGAGGATCTTGAGTTTTCTAAGTACTTGATAAGAAACAAGGAGGATTAATTAGCTAAATTAGCTAGGACCTCAAAACACAAACATGGAAGAAAACTCAGCCAGTTCTTGGCAATTCCTAAGCTACTCTCTTCTTCCATGTCTTGTGTTTCTTCTTCTTTCTGCCAAGTTCTTGCTACAGAAAAGAAAACAAACCAATCTCCCAC